AATGTCAATATTGAAAAACCATGATGGTTGAGAATTTTGAATGAGAAGGATCTGAATGAAACATATGTTATGATTAGAGATTCTAATAACTAGGAAAATACAAGATGTACACCTGCATACATGTTTGATGATGCTCGTATAAATATTTAAAGAACACCTAAGACGGTGTAAGGAGTTTGAATATACTAGCATTTACAGTCTGCAGGAGGCAGCTGATAAACATGATACCCGATTTAGTGGGGGTACTTGGCGGGCTTACTGATTGTCCTAGTATGAAGCATTGAAATGCTATTGAAAGGGGTCATGAGACACCTTAAAAGAACAGAAAAACCTTGGTATTTGTTATCAAAGGTTTTGCTGTATTGGTAGGGTATAGTGATGCGGATTAGAATACCCTATAGAGGACTCCAAGACAACAAGAGGATGTGTTTTAAACATCGATAGAGAAGTTATGTCTTGGAAGTCTAAGAAGTAAACGATCCTGGCTCAATCAACTAAGAAATCGAAAATGATAGAACTGGCAATGGCTAGTAAAGAGGAAAGTTGATTGAGAGGGTCAATACTAGAGATTCCCTTATGGGAAAGACCGATCCCTCCGGTAGTTGATTAATTGTGATAGCACCGCAGCTATTGCAAAAGAAGGGAACCGGTTCTAGAACGAAAAGAGACGACAAATTCGTCGTAAGCACAGTACTGTAAGAGAACTCCTAACGATAGGAGCAATGAGGGTGGATCCTGTAAGGTCCTAACAGAATCTAGCTGATCCTTTGACGAAAGGATTATCTAGAGAGAAAGTCCAAAATACCACGAAGGGTATGAGACTTATGCCTACCGAACCATGGATTACAAGTGATGGTAACCCGACCCGATAGACTGGAGATCCCAAGAAATGGGTTCAATGGGTAATAACAAGTCATGAGTAATATTGAGAAAAGTTCATGCATAGTGAAGCATGAATCCCAAAGCCTTGGAGGTTGAGTTAAAACTCTTAATGAGATCTATACTCTATGTGGAGTGAAGTACTTTACTTTGGGGGTACTTCTGATAGACTCACCTATGTGAATGTGGGAGTGAGGCCGCTCCCTATGGAACTTTGGAGGCACAAAGTTGCTAGAGCGTTCACTAAACCGGGATAACGTGCATGGCCATAAACGCACGGCCTATGAGAGAATATCACTCAATGAAAAGATCCGGTGTGCTACATTGTCTGAGATAGGGTTCAAGACTACGAGTCACCCTTATGAAATCGGAAGTGTAACCACTACGCTAAGGTTCAAATCTTCGCGATACCTTAGTTTATGCCCGATCTTATGGATCTGTTGATGCTCAGAGATAGTTTCAAAACTATTCAAGTGGGGGATTGTTGGGAATGAATAGCTTTGAAAGCTATATTGAATTAATTATCCCGTATTCTTTCTAGATACGAAAATAGGAAGGATAATTAATAAAAAGAATATTATGGAGATAATTAGGATTAATTATCTTAATATAATATAATATATTTTAATTATGGAAGTAATTATCTTCCTAATTAAAATGTGGCTTATTCCCAAAGAAAGAGGGAATATTCTAGGTTTTCTGCTCCTATAAATAGCAGACCCCTAGACCCTCTAAACACACCTCAGAGAGCAGAAACACGAGATAGAGAGTGAGTTCATAGAGCTCCGGTTTTCGCACAAAACCGATGAGCAACAAAATAAGAATGGCTGTTTTATCCTGGAGGCGACCGGCTGATAGTCTGCCGTGCGCAACGAAGGCAGTGCCACGAACGTCTTAAAGAGAGCGACCTAGTCCGCGACTCAGCCAGATCGGTAACCCTATTTTTCTGTTCGGTTTCTAACAGGAATGCCATGAAAGCCTTCCATTATCGTGCCGTCCGAGAAACCCTGATGGGAGGAGCAACGTCAGAACTGGGATCGAAAAGTGGCAGAGCTCTCCGCCCAGTACATGGAGATCCCCGTTGCCGTCGTTTCCAATGAGCCGGTCGCCACCTGTGAATCCTTGCCGCCGCGAGATGGAGACTTGTTCGTGTTGGAGAAAGCCCAGAAGGAAGAGGGTGAGAAACATGGTCTCGGAAACGTGCAGGAGGAGCTTCTCCACAAACGTTGTTCGCCCGACCTTGCTTCCCCAAACGGAGGGCTTGATCGCGCTTCAACGTCGCCGCCGTCAAAACTGCAGGAAGCTGCCACCGCCGAGAAGCATCAGGAGAGGGTAGGCTCTGCTACTCTTGGAGGAGGAACCAAGGTGAAAGAAACAACGAGTCTGACATTGGATGGAGAAGATGGGAAGCCTACCAAGACAACTCATTGTGACATTGCTACTTTTCAAGGGTCTGATGTTGGTACGAGTTTGTTTGGGCTACGGCAGGGGCGGAGCTAGGATTTAGCTTTCTGGGGGGGGGGGGGGTCGGAGTTCTCTTGATACTTTACCGTAAAGAGCTAAAATTCTATTAAACAAAAATCATTTTATTTTATTAAAAGCGCACAAAAAAATTATATTAAATTTGGAATAAATCAGAAAACTATATACAAGTTACTAACTCATTTCAATATTGTGTGGCGTAAACGGTTTTAATAACTAAAGGCAATTGTCTACCAATATTAATATTCGACCAAATTTATTCATTATATATTCAAAAATAACCTTAAAATTGAAGAATTTAATCAATCTAATTTAAAGTTAAATAATTAACAAACGAAATATGAAAGTTCAAGCATTGATCAATTTTTTAATTAAATAAAAACTTAAATCTAATTTAAAATTAAATAATTAACAAACCAACTATGAAACTTTAAGCATTTGATCAAAAAATTTAGTTAAATAAAAACTTAAAGGCCATATAACTAAAAATATTCATCATATTTCAAACTATCCTTGAAACTATTATGAAAATCGTAGACTAAATTGACTATTTAGGGATCAAAACATAAATTGATTACCAAAAAAGCTAGTAATAAAAACATATGCTGCTTTCCAACAGGATCGAAACCTTGACCACTAGTTGAGAGGGCAAGGCACGATTCCACTAGACTACAGAGACTTTTACTGTTTTGTTTCACGTTGATTATTTTAATACATAACATTTAGTTTATACGTCTAATACCGAACTTTTACACGTGACTTTCAAAATTCTCGGGGGGGGGGGGCCGGGGCCCCCCGAAGGCTGCTGTAGCTCCGCCCCTGCTACGGAAAACCAATTGGAAGTATAGGAAGAAGCATGAAGAAGATGACGATGAAGACCACCACGCCGCGAGAAGTCGAGGTTCGGTTCGTGGTTGTATCGGTCCGGGCATGGGCGGACTCGTGAGAGCTTTGCTGTATGGAGTTGATCCGGAGAATTGTTCTGATAGGGAAGTTACTTTGGAGTTGACTGGTTGTGCTACCAATAAAATCGTTGCCCAAGCTGGAGGATGCGAGCGAGAGGATCGATCTACGATGATGGGATCGATTGATGTTGATGCAAGAATTATGAGACATGAGCAGAAAGTGAGAGGATTGAATCTTGGGCGGACAGTAGGCGAGGGTTGCTCGCAAAGGAGGAGAACTCCATTTATTGATTGTAAGCATATGAGGGAAGGAACCCAAGGTTTGGTTCGGTCATGAGATGTTGTCTACGTTTGGGTGAATAACCAGGAGGATGGACTTAATTGCTTTGAGAGATTTGAAGGAGGATTCTTTTCTCATGCATACGTGAGTGCCATGGTTAGAGGCATGCATGCAAGGTTTTTAAGAAATAGAGATTGGTGGAAGTCTCACTACAAGTGTGGGAAGAAGGCAGACGTGGAAGCTAGTGGTGGGGAATTCGATCAAGTTCCTGAATGTAATTGGAAGCGTCGTAAACGAGATCGATTTCGACAGGCATCCACTCTCTTTGATGTCATCAATTCGTGGGAATGATTCTTCTTCATCGATCCAGGCTAAGAAGTCGCCTGAACTTCGGGGACGAAGTTCTTTAAAGGGGGGAGGATTGATGCGGAACAACATTCGATGGGCCTTAGGCCTAGTATGGGCTTAGTAATTAGGGACTTATTATTAGTTAATTGCTAGATTATTATGGTTATTTAAGATATTCGTATTAGTTTATTGTGTCTTGTTGAGGAAGTTATAGTTTACTTGTTGGGTTAGGTTTAGATTACCTTGTTGGAGAGGGAAAGGGTTATGAGAGTAGTCCTATAAATATGTACGTTGTTCTTTAGGTTTCGAAAAGCAATGAATAAGAGTAAAGTAGATTAGTAGTAATTTTGCTATCGTTATCGCGTTTCATTAGTTTCGTAGAAGAGTTCGAGTTCCACGATATGTGAGATTCCGCTATCACGCATCACAAACTTATAAATATATCTTTTATTTTGTTTGGTTCATCTCTTTTTTCCAACTCGCCAAATATAGGTTACGGGATAGCTTATTTCAACCTCTAAAGTAGAGTGCAAGCATGTCTATTTCCTTTTTGATTGCCCTTTATCACAATCAGTATACATCGATCATATTGTTGTTGTACTTTGCTGACCATAAACACATATTTGTATAATTAAGTTTCTTTTATAATTTCGTGGCTTGCTGTTATTTTCAAATTATGTTATCGTGGCAAGAGAGGATAGAGTTATTTAACTAGGTAAACCATACTTAGTGGGTTCCTATATATTCTGGTATTTGTAAGAGGTTTTCTTTGGTAATTCCATATTTCAATATATACAAAACGTTTTCTAAAATGTAGATCGACCAATCTAAATTTGTACGCCTTACAAATTTATTGTTCAAAATTGCTACAAGAACAATGTTTCATAATATTCTATATATGTGGTATATATTGCACATAGTAACTTTGTGTGTTTTAGTTGAGGATTTGTTCAAACATAGTAATTCGTACCATTGTATATTCATAAGTGGTCAAATAGTTAAACTATATGCATAAAATAGTGCTCATCTTAAATAAAACTAACTAAATAATTAAATAGGGAAAGCGCTTACTGTAGAGTGGACCAGTCGGTTTCGCCGAGAGAGGGATCGCGGCGCTCTGCCCCCACTGCGGCGACGCCCGACGCCCCTGCTCCTGCGGCGCCTGCTCCTCCACCGCCGTCGATTCTTCTTCATCGTCGTCGATCAAGAGGTCCGGAAGCGTTAGCCGCATATCGAATTTTCTGTTCGAGAGCAGCAGCAACACTGCGGAGCCTTCCTTGCGGCGGTCGAGATCCTTGGCGGTGGCGATTCCGTTCCTCCGGTCGTCAACCAATCGTCATCCTCCTCCTGCCGCTGCTTCCGACAAGGCCGCTCCAACTCCCGCTCCGGCGTTCTGGGCAATTCTGAAAGGCGGCGGCGCGTCGGCGAAGAAGAAGGACGACGTGGCGGCGGCGGGGGAGGAGGAGGACGGTGAGCAGCTTCGGAGGATGACGATGAGGAAATCGAGGTCGGTGGCGGTGACGTCAGCGGATGCAGGGAGGTCGTCGTGGAAAGGAAGCGGCGGAGGGAGAGGGTGGCATTTCCCGAGCCCGATGAAGGTGTTCCGGCAATCGAAAAGCTCCGCCAGAGGCGGCGGCGGTTTGATCTTTGGGTCTGACGGTTACAATTCCAGAGCACGGTTACAAATCCAGAGAGGACTCCAACTGCGATCCGTTTCAGATACGCTTGTTCTTTCTCTTTCCTCGCTAATTTTAATATTTATTTATTTCCAGGAATATAATTCTAGAATCTTTTAATTTTATTTTCCTTAACGGCTCGTATTTATAAACTTTTCATTGACTTTACTTAAAAAAAAGTAATAAAAAATGTTTTTCTTTTGACCTTGTTAGCTTTTGATTCGGAGTATCCGACTAAGCCTCAATGGCTTGTTTAAGTCCATTCGGTGGAGCTTAGTTGTCCTCCAGTATGGGCGCTTGTGTGTTTGTTTGTTTTTGCAGGGGCACGTAGTTTTCCCTTGACTATACAAGCATCAATCCATTATGATTCAATCTCGTGATATGGCGCATGCGACAGGTGGAGCGATCTCGGAAGAGATTTGTTTGGCGTCTGTGTATTTTAATTTCTTTATTTGTACTTTTACGCAGAGGTTGTACAACAGGGCTGCCCACTTAGTGGCTTCTAATGCCCTTTCATCGACAGCTCGATATTGTGTCGACTGTCGCGTCTGGTTTTCTGCGTCCTGTAATATCTATTTCATTCCCGATCTATGACAAAAAAAAAACTAAATAATTAAATAGGTCTCACCCGGCCGACGGCCGGGAACAAAACTAGTTTCTTAATTTCGTTTTGCAAGATATTTATTTCCCGTGTAAGCTTCACTCTTCCCAGCATAGCTAGTTAGGCAAATTATTAACATCATAGATTTTCCGTGTATATATTTCATACATCTTCTATTTTATTCCAACAAGTTGATTAGCTCTCGTGCTCGTGCTCAATATTCAAACCAACATCATTTTGCTTCACTATATATAGATAGCTACGTACTACTACCGCTCGTACTTAAAGCAGCACTTGTTGATCAATTATGCTTCATTCTTAAAAGGGTGGTACGTTTTGAGAGACTGGACCAGACCTTCCACTGATCCCGCTGCTGCGATGAGTGAAATCAGCAAACAGACGAAGCTCAAGGCCTGCAGGCACATCCAGGAGACGGAGAACTTTGGAATCTTCGCTCGGGCGATGTACATCTCGATCGGAAAGTAGACGGTCAATGGCCAAAAAGAGACTGCCCCGATAAGGCCCAAAAAAACGTTGAAGAACGGTAGGACCATGGCCAAGACGGTCGTCACTGCCACGTAAGCAGACCTCCAAACCACTCTGAACCAGTTGACGTGGAAGCTCATGCCACCCAGGAACGGAATGGTAATCTGGTGGTCAGTGGACACGAACTTGACCTCTGGCCACCTCTGACGACAGCTCGTCTCCACGAAGCTGAAAATCGGCTGCGCAAACACCTGCAGCCACACACACATATATACAAATTAATATCACGAAAGAAATTAATTTTAATTTAATTAATTAAACTGAACTGACTTGGTAGGCGCCGATGAGGTGGATTGCCACGCAGACGTTGGCTACGTTGAGTAGCCACACCGGATGATTGAACCCGGTCCCTGAGAGTAAATCGCCTGGCGCGTCTTCTCCAAACGCCGCATAGCCCACACAGCCGCAGAGCAAGTAGAAAATTGTGGTAGTTGAGATGCCTACTAAACTCGCCCGTTTCATTGTTTTGTTCTCGGCCGGGCTCGATTTCAGGGTGTCCTGCATGCAATAATCAATGCATCCATTTCTTGTTGATTAGGTAGTTAATAACTAAATAAAGTACTTTTTATTGATTAATTAATCCTTTACTAATTAGGCCATGAGAGAGAAGGGAAGCCGATTGATCTAGGCCAGGATTTTAGAAAGGGGTAATATGAAACGAATTACTATTTGACTACTTGCCTGGATCTCGATGAGTACAGTGGAGTAGGCGTACGCAAAGGCGATGTCGCCAATCGCCTGGAAAATTCTCCACAACCTCTGCGCCTCTGACACCGTCGCCGACGTCGTTCTTGTCTCACCTCCTTCATTCAATTTAGTTCATTGATTAATATATATTATATATGTAACATTTACTTAAACCTCATGTACATTCAATAACGTGATATTATTACGAATATGATCTACCTGAAGCAACTTTGACTATGGAGAGACCCAAGCCAATGAGCGAATAGGTAAGGGACATGACAGCGGCGAGGATGGAGAGCCGGGACAAGTTGTGGAAGTTGGGCACCTGGCAAAGGATCAGCTGGATGCAGCCAAAGACGACCATGTCCAGCGTGGTGGACGCGTGGCACTTGTCCTTCCCGTGGAAACACTTCGATCCACGAACCATCCTGCACGTTGTTCAATAGGTTTAAATAATTAATTGCCTCGATAACGAAATGAAAGTTGCGTAAATCATGGTTAAATTAGATAGCTTACTCCATGCTGATTGACGCCGTGATGGTGTAACCAACGGTGACGCCGACCAGGTTCGAGTACTGAGCGACACCGCAAAACCGGACCTTGAGCCCACCTAAATGGGCCCGGACCGCGTCCATGTAGGTGTAGTTTCGCTGGCCGGTGACCGGGTCCGGGTGGCGGTAGGCGTCGGCGAGGAGGGTGGAGGTGAAAAGGGTGATGAGAGAGAAGATGATGAGAGTGGCCGGACCGGCCACCCAACCCAGCTGGGCGATTGCCCAAGCCAGGGACAGAACCCCTGACCCAATCACCGCTGTGATGATGTGAGCGCTAGCCGTCACCCAAGTCCCTGCATTGCATACACAAATGAATAGATAATGTTCATCAGTATGGACAGTAATTAATTAAGCAATTATAATAAGCTAGCAATGATTAATTAAGTAACTTTAGCCAAGTGAGACAGTCGATGGCTCAGAAACTAGCTAATTATGATCGTGGAATTTTCCTACAGTTACTGTTTTTTTACTGGCGGTTTCCACCCGACATTAAAATTTACCGGCCGCCACCCAGTTTTGTTGCAGTAGTGTAGCTATATAGGTGAGTTAATTACCAGTTCGCATTGGGCGGCCATCATCGTCGACTCTGTTGGCCATCTTCTCCTTAATTCCCGGCTGTAAAGCTTCAAGACCCTCAACGAACAAGTAATGGAACTGAGTAATAATTAATGGCCGGTGATATTCTAATTTGGTGTTTGGAAAGGAAAATAGGAATTTAGTTTAGTAACGAATAACGATGCAGCAGAGAGATGCAAAGGGTTTCTTTTCTCTTGATCACTTGTGTGTTTGTAATTTGCACTCCCAATGCACGTTACATTTATATATGCATGGCCCAATTTCTGAAGTTTACGTCAAACCATTAATTCAAGAACGGATACGTATAGCTAATCGATCTCCTTGGGTGGAAGAAGAATTGTGTAGCACACTAATTACTTCATATAGCCAAACCAAACTATACGTTCGGGTTCGTCCTTACTGCTCGAAAAGGTTTGTCATTGCGAGCATTTGGGGAGGAGCGATTATAATAATAGAACAGTCTGATTTCATTCGGTTTATAGCAGTTTATAAATTAATTAATATGGAGTGAATGGGTTCAACCACTGACAATTAAGTAACTTCAAACAACTGAGAGAAAGTTCAACCACCGATAATTAATATGGAGGGAAAATTAGTAGCCTAACCTCATATGTTAACTAACCTATCAAATCACGTAACTAATTAACCTATCAATAATATTCGCAACTTCAATAGTGTACTACTCCATCTTTTGGGAAATCCTCACATACAGACTACAATGGCAATAATCATCTACAGACTAAAATGGCATGAGAACTTTTGATTGATCACCCATCTTTCAATCTCTTACAGAGAGTCGAACTTCACAAATTGGACGATATAGACGACTCTTGTTATTGATGGCGTGAACAAGTACGACTTCCTCACTGATAACATTTCTGCTCCTTATGAAGGTTCTCCACTGTAAGTAGGATGGAAATTGGTACGGTATCGGTATCCCAGTACTAAATATCGAAATCCCAAATATCAAATTACACCCTAAAAACAATCTCAATCTCTAAATTAATTCGGTATCCCAACCCCTAAATATTATATTCGGTATCTCAATCGGTATTGTTGGTATCCCAATCGGTATTTGCAATTAATAATTAAACACGTAAATTAGACTATGTAATATAATTTAAGGCAAAGAATGTGGCTAGGAAAAGGGTCTTGAGTTCGCCCAGATCTAGGACATGGATAAGGAGAAGGGAGGAGAAGGTGACATCTCAATATCTTTATCATTTGCAATCTTAATAATTTATAATTTTGGAGTCTTACGGTTGGATCGATTTGGGTTAGACGGTTGGGTCGATTTTCGGGTTGGGATGTTCACCCCTTACCACCGACATCATCTAGAGACTGTTAATCGTAACGGAAATATCGAAACAGAAATCAACACACAGATTTACGTGGTTTCCTCGTTACATATGAACGAGACTAGTCCACGGTCGAAAATAGTTTATCCTCTTATTTAGCTTAGCGTCAACAAGTTCAGTTACATACGTATTTATACATCTAGGATCTCAAACCTTAGACTACTCGGCTAACCCTAGGCCACTTACAATCATTTACTCGTGGCTAAGGAGAGTGGGCCGAAGCCCATACAAGCACATTACTCAACAGCCTCCTCCCAATTGACGAGGATCTTTCATCAACAATTTGCGAGAAACATAAAGTGGTGACTAGCCAAAAATGACTTGGTTAACAAATCCGCAATCTGGTCCTCTGACGTGATGTGAAACAGGCGAAGAATACCGTCACGAACCAAGTCTCGTATGTAATGAAGATGAATCTCTATTTGCTTCCTACGATCATGAAACATCGGATTTGTGGCAATCTGAATGGCACTTGTATTATCAACATAAAGCTAGAGAGGAATCTCACAATCCACTCCCAAGTCACCAAGTAGACCTCGAAGCCAGACCATCTCAGAAGCAACGTCAAACATAGCTCGATATTCCGCCTCAGTAGAAGATTTAGACACATTGTCCTGCTTCTTACATCGCCATGAAACAAATGACTCACCAAGCCGAATACACCACCCAATGGTTGAAGAACGAGTGTCTACACATCCTGCATAATCAGAATCTGAGAAGTCCTGAAGAACAAACAAACCAGATGAGGGAAGAAACAACCCAACCTCCTTGGTGCCCTATAGGTAGCGTAAAATGCGATGGACAGCAGCTAGATGATCTGGTCAGCCGAGTTGAGGAGGATCGTACGAACCTTGGCATCATTCAATACCCATCGAGCCATCCAAGAAGTCCCTTCCCTTCGATCAATGTTGGAAACTAAAACTCCCAGACTGCATAATTCTTCGAGTTAAGATGAGCTGTAATCCGGTCAGCAGTCATAGGCTTCGATACCATGTTAATCGTAACGGAAATATTGAAACAGAAACAAAAATCAACACACAGATTTATACGGTTTCCTCATTCTGCATGGACGAGACTAGTCCACGGCCGAAGCTAGTTTGTTCTCTTATTCAACTTAACTTCAACAGGTTCAGTTACATATGTATTTATACATCTAGGATCTCAAACCCTATACTACTCGGCTAACCCTAGTCCACTAATAACCATTCACTCTCGTGGCTAGGGATAGTGGGCCGAAACCAATACAAACACATTACTCAACAGAGACACCCTGCAACATTAACAACAATCTCGCCATTTATGTATATAGATAATGCTTATTATTACTTTTTCTACAAACCTACATCGCAATAGTATGCTTTTCTCTAGTATAAATTTAATGTAAGACTATGCATTCCTATCGTTAATAAATAAACATCTATATATGTTTTTTTAGGGTACAATCCAATCACCACATTGAAAATACAAGAGAAGGGACCCTTGTATATAAGTGTCCACCAAGCTAATTAGTACGAGGCCTTTTGGGGAGGACACCAAGAGTAAAACCGTGCGGGCTTGGCCCAAAGCGGACAATATCGTACTAATTGAGCTACCCGGTTATGACAAATGGTATCAAAGCCTGGTTCAGTTCGGGCAGTGGACGTCAGTTTGGTGGGACCCTCATTTGGTGACCTCGAGATTTGAGATATGCGTCTGGTTTGGCGGATCAAGGGAGGTCCGCATCTGTATGGTGGATCTAGGAGAGATCCACGTTTGTTTGGCGGATCAAAGAGAGTTACGCTGTAACATCCCGTTTCGGCTAAAATCGTATTACTGTCACTAGAAAATTTCACGATTTAAAATCGAGCATTTTTGCAGTATTTCGACAAAAATCGAATTATCGATCGATCAGATAAGTATACATATTAGTGTTATATATATATATATACTCCGGCCGGTCCATTTAATTCCCTTCCCCTGTCCATTTTCTTTCCCATCATCATCGTTTCGTTCTTTCTTTTGCTGGACCGAGAACTGGAGCAGAGGGCGCGCATGGGAGGTGAGCACGGAAATTCTCAGAGCTCAAATCTTAAGCTTTAGTGATCCATAAATCCCGTAAGTTAACAAAGGAAGAGCAATGAAAGGGTGAAAACCTAGCTTGCTTTTCTCATTGATCCAAATCGCCTCTTATAGGCAGATGAGCATACAAGATGACAAGCTCCATTGGAGCTGTCTGATAGTTTGAAAGGGAAACAAGGCTGACTTGGCGAAAAAGAAAACAGAGCTAAAACAGGCAAAGTGGAAATGACAGCGTTCCAGTTCTTCTACACTAAAGAAAAGAGAAACGACAGCGCTTTAAATGGAAAAGAGATTGATGGCGAAAACGGCAGCGCAGCGAAGGTCCTGCTCGTTGGAACAAAACGTCGATGGATCGATAGAAGACCTTTGGAATTGAATTTCATTCTGTTACCCCCCCCCCCCCGGCAAGCTGGTGGGCACAAGTTTCGCACACCAAGCTTGGAGAGCAGGGGCAGAAACGGAGCAGGTCACAACGACTTGGTGAATAGATCGGCCAATTGGTGAGCTGAGGAGATGTGCAGAAGCTTCAGCGTTCCCAATTGCAGCTTTTCCCTGACAAAGTGGCAATCAAGTTATTCTTGGCAATGTGGATGGCGCTCTGATTGTCGCAGTACAAGGTCGCCGGATTGGAAGAGGAAACCTGGAAATCCTGGAGAAGATATTGCAACCACTGAATTTCGCATGCTGTGAAGGCCAGGGCTCTATATTCTGTTTCGCAAGAAGACCTTGAAACGATATGCTGTTTTTTGCTTTTCCAAGAAATTAGGGAATCACCCAAGTAGATGCAGAAACCTGTTGTTGATCTTCTCGTGTCAACACAGGCTGCCCAGTCCGAATCTGTGAAAGCTTTGAGTTGGAAGGAACCTTTTGATGGAAAGAAAAGACCTGTAGCTGGGGCTGTTTTGAGGTATCTTAATACTCGTTGAGCAGCCTTGAAGTGAGTGACACTGGGGTTTGACATGTATTGGCTCAATTGCTGTGTGGCAAAGCTGATGTCTTGACGGGTAGTGGTGAGGTAGATGAGCTTCCCAACAATAGTTCGATAGTGTTTAGGGTCTTCAAAGGGGGTATCCACCTCATTACTTAGATGCAGCTTGTAGTCCATAGGGGTAGTGACTGATTTGGCATGTATGACGTTTGCTTCTTCCAGAATTTCTAGTGTGTATTTCCTTTGTGACAAATGTATGCCAGCTGTGCTTCTTGCCACTTCAATTCCAAGAAAATATCTGAGATTGCCAAGGTCCTTAATGCTGAATTCAGAATGCAGAACATCCTTCAATGCTTGAATCTCATTCATGTCATTGCCACCCAAAACCAGGTCATCGACATATATAAGAATGCATGTGTAAGAAGTCTCTGTGACCTTGAAGAAGAGAGAGTGGTTTGCTTTGCTTTGTACATAACCAGACTGTGTTAACTTATCAGTGAGCTTAGTAAACCATTGTCTGGATGCCTGTTTAAGGCCATATAGGGACTTCCTTAGTCTTCAAACTGGATTTGGAATATCTGGAAGAGGTGTAAAACCTTTAGGTAGTGTCATGTAAACTTCCTCTTCTAAGTCACCATTTAGAAATACATTGTCGACATCCAATTGATGTATATGCA